GTCGTCGTCGTTAGTCGTACGTCGTCCGTTGTCGTACGTCGTCGTCGTAGTCGTCGTCGTCGTCGTGTGTGTGTCGTGTGTGTGTGTGTGTGTGTGGTGCGTGTGTGTGTGTGTGTGTGTGTGTGTGTGTGTGTGTGTGTGTGTGTGTGTGCGTGTGTGTGTGCGTGCGTGCGTGCGTGCGTGCGTGCGTGCGTGCGTGCGTGCGTGCGTGTGTGTGTGCAAACACATGTGCAATCCGTCATTGTCACCACCGTCGTCATTAGGCCAAAACAAAATATATGTATGGTTACCGTTACATGCCGAAAAAAATAGGGTAGATAGGTAGGGAAAACATTTTATTTTCTTGAAATATTTTATTTACGAACCATGTCCGAAGGATGTGCGTTGTGCCTTTTGAAGCAGGAACTGTCCAATTCATATTTTATTTGTTAAATTATTTTATTTTTTTTGACTTTAAAGAAAATTGACAATAAAATGCTGAGGATCGCTGGGAATAAATAGGGTCGGTCGGGAAACCGTAACCACACCTATATTTTGTTTTGGCCTTATGGCTGTGGCGGTTATCCCGAGTGAGATGGCTGTAGTACTAGAGTTGGAGACAGACAACAGCAGTGATGTTGCACTGCACTTCTTATTTTAGGGCGAGACAAGTGTTGCCGTTGGTATAATCCGAATTCTTAGATAAGCAATGATTTACAGAAAATGTTGTCACATTTTGAAGGTTAGGGGGTGACGCTGATACTTGGTGAGCTGCCAGGAGAGTGATCGAGTCACCATCAACCAACCAAAGATAACTAGCTCCGCACACAGTGTTCAAGAGTACATAATAGACATCAAACTTATGTACTCTTGAACTCGTACACACATACATCTCTGGTGCAAGTGATGGTAACTGATGGTAACTGATAGTGGTGGTGGTGGTGGTGTTGATGGCTGTGGGCCAGCAGTGTTGTTGTCGTAAACATACACGTATCTGCAGTAGTCCGCGAAAACTGTGGCCGCATCCAAATATATTTGTGGCTATTTCCTCACTCTCTCGATCCTCCCTGCATTCTCCCCGTTGATTCACATACGCTCGCAGTCTCACAATGTATATTTATATTATCAAGAGTGTCAATGTATATTATCCTTCTTTATACGCTCTTGATATTATCAGGAGTGAATAAAAACAAACTGGTTTTTATTCACTCCTGATATTATGTTCAGTTAGTAATTTAGTATTGCATATTTTTAGCTCATCTGACATAGTCAGATGCAGCTTGTAGAATCGCTTGATCGTTGATTTCTCTTCCATTCAGAGGAAGAGGTCTGTTTATCGGTGTTGACCTGGTGAAGGACAGGCAGACCAGGGAGCCGGCGACAGTCGAGGCTCAGCAGGTCATAACAAGGTCAGCCACTGCTGCTCTCACTACGTCATCCCTAAAAGCCCCCGCACACAGTAAGGTTCGTGCTGAGCACAGAGCATGAGTTTCGTGCTCAGCAGGAACCTCACACCCCCGCACACGCTGAGTTGTCAGCCTCGCGAGACCAAAATTCGTGGGTGCCACTGTCTGGTGCACGGGTGCACGAAGCGGTCACTGTCTGGTGCACGGGTGCACGAAGCGGTCACTGGAGCGGGTGCACGAAGCGGTCACTGGAGCGGGTGCACGGCTGAACCAATCAAAATGCGCAGCCATTTCGGAATAACTAAATACGCATGCGCCGACACTGAGCAGGAATCTCACATACCCCGCACACGCTCAGTTGTCAGCCTCGCGAGACCAAACTGATCAAACATGACAGATATTTTCCTCACCGGCTCACGAGACCGAAAACTCGGTGAAATCGACCCCGCACACGATGAGGTACCTGCAGAACACGGCGCGTGAGCGTGTGCGGGGGCCTTAATGTGGGAACCTATTGCAAGAGGCAGTCTGTCTCGTCTCTGAGACACTGTTCCAATTTGTTTTGGTGCAAACTGA